AGCCTTCCTATCAGAGAAAGGACTTTTCTGGGAAAACAGTAAAGCTGAATTGTATCTGAAGCAGTTGTGCTGCTGAGTCAGAACGCTGTCTGGGGAAAGAGCCCAGCCAGGGCAGAACAGAACTATCCAGGAGTAAAGCTCTCTTTTCTGTCAGAGAAAGCACCTCTTTGAGAAAAGCTTTGTTTCAACTGACTCCCGGTGAGTTGAGGGAGTGTTGCCCTGAGAGGTGATTGCCTCTGGCATAAGCTCTGTCCTTGAGCACCCAGACAAGCAAACACAACCCACTGGGGGACTGGGCCAGGTGAAGGCCTTGAAGAGGCAAAACACCTGTCCTAATGGGAGTTTAGAAATGGCAAAAACCTCCCTTGTTGGATTTTCAGTCTGTACACAAACTGCACAGACCCCGAAAACAAACGGACAAAAAGCCCCTACCTTCAGTAGCAGGGAAAGCCGCCGCTGTAGTGTCGGAAACTGTTTCTGGGGTAGAGGGGATAAACTGAGACCAAACTGGGAACTGTCAGGGAGAAAGACTCTGAAGAAATAGAGGGGACAGATTCCTCCCCAGAAAATGCATGACCTGACAAAGCTGCTAGAGTTTGAGGCAGAATTGGGGGGAGAAAAAAAGCCCCTACCTCCAAAGGCAGCTAGCAGAGGTACAGAGCCGCAGACAGATACCTGAAGCTCTGCATCTGGGGAAGGAAGGAGCAAGCAAAATGAGATAGATCAGTGGGAGAAAATCTCTCTGAAGGAGCTATGGAAAAGCTGTTGTAAATGATCTTGTTTTTCACTGACTGGCTAAAACAAACACAAGCCCCAAGGAAAGTTGCTATCAGAAATGGCAGTCTCAATGCCGGCTAACGAGGCAGGTGTGGATCTGATCCGGGGGCCAGTGTCTGATGAAGGAGAGACACCTGTTGAAGCCAGCTGAGAGACCAGAAACCTCCCAATGTGCCATAGCTGAAAATGTAAGATGCTTGTTCAAATCTCCCGTTGCAAAAGCAAAAAACTTTGTTCAAACCTCCCGGGCAAGAATTTGTAAGCAAGTCTGGTAAAAGAGAGCTAGTTGACTCTCAAACCTGATAAGAAATATGGGAAATGATATAAGGGACTGATATTATTATGGACTGACATAAGGGAAATGCATTGTGGGAAAGGTAGTTTTTCTGCTAAAGATGGCAACATTGCCCTGAAACGCTTTTGTCAACTCGAAAATACATTCATGGTAAACTTAAAATACAGCTTTTAAAAGAATGAGTAGGAAAGTCGTCTAAGTATCAGTTCCAATGAAAGATTGAAAGGATACGGAACTAGGTGCTTCGTGGTTTTGGGCTCCGTTGGTAAAATGCCTTATTTACCCTAATAGCCTTGCAAAGTGTTTACGGTAGTTGGATGACAAAAGCTACCTTTAAGAGCAAACAAGTCATTTAAAAATCCTT